CAGGACATTTCACCTTGGTGAAACGACAGGTAGAAAGTCTGACCCACAGACAGTGTCAAAAGCTATGAGGCATGCAAGGGACTCGCAAGGACAAAGGCTATTCAGAGTCAATGACTTCCTGACAACACAGCAGGTGTCAAGCTATTTCTCAAGACTGGCAGCCAAACGTAGAAAGACGACAGAGGATGACGAGGACCAGCAGCTTGACCCCTGCCATGTTGGAATCCATCAACAGTAAAGTGCAAGCTGAAGTTATTGATGATGTCCACCTACGTCATCCTGTTTTGTATGACACATATAACCTATGTGACATGTCAAAGAGAGGTGACCTGTACGAACTTGGGATTGCATTGCTAAAACTGATTTGTGAACACTTTGATGTGGATGTATCTTCCATAAGTGACCGCCGTCGGAAAGCGGCCTTTGTAGCAAAACTTTAAAGAGTACTTAAGCTCCTGCCCTTGCACAAAATTGTCTACATGTACAGGAATAGCGGAAGGACAATAGGACAAGATGACATGAAAATATGCAAATTGCCCCTTTTTCAGGGACAAGTGCGTAGCAGGAAACAAGAACCCAGACTTTGCAAGTACGCATTCCACAGAGTACATATTGTTTTATGTTGTAAGTAACCTTCAAGTACAGAACTAGTTTGGTTTGGAACTTATGTCAGTTCAAAAATAGCACAAAATGACATATTATCAAAATAATGAAAACTGACCCACTTTCAGGGACAAGCGCGTAGCAACGAAACAAGAACCCAAACTTTACAAGGCTGCATTTCATAGACAATTTGTTGTTTTATATTCTATGTAACCTTCAAGTAAATAACTAGTTTGGTTTGGAACTTATGCTAGGTCAAAGATAGCTCAAAATGACATATTATCAAAATAATGAAAACTGACCCACTTTCAGGGACAAGTGCGTAGCAATGAAACAAGAACCTAAACTTTACAAGAATGCATTATATAGACAATTTGTTGTTTTATATTCTATGTAAATTTCAAGTAAATATCTAGTTTGGTTTGGAACTTATGTCAGTTCAAAAATAGCACAAAATGACATATTATCAAAATAATGAAAACTGACCCACTTTAAAGGACAAGTGCGTAGCAACGAGACAAGAATCCAAACTTTGCAAGGATGCATTTCATAGACAATTTGTTGTTTTATATTCTATGTAACCTTCAAGTAAATAACTTGTTTTGTTTGGAACTTATGCTAGGTCAAAGATAGCACAAAATGACATATTATCAAAATAATGAAAACTGACCCACTTTAAAGGACAAGTGCGTAGCAACGAAACAAGAACCCAAACTTTGCAAGCATTCATTTGATACCTCTGTAGTGGTTTATTATGCAGTGTAAATTTCAGGCAAAACATCCTTTCCTTTTGGGAGTTACAGTGCTTCAAAGATGGGCAAAATTTCAGTTTTTTTACATGCTTAAAACAGTGCATTGTATTCAGAGTGCCCAAGACCTCAGATTTTACTGAACATTGGCTTTACTGCTGTTTTATAGAAGTTAAGGCATTGCTCTGATCAGCACATCTTGCTCTTGTTGTTACGCTAAAGCACTGATCAGTTACAGTGCCCTAAAGTTAGCCAATTTCCATGTTTTGTATATGCCAAAATCTGGAAAAATGCCCTGAAAACGTCTTTAGCCCGTTGCCATGGCAACAAGGGGTTCTGAGCAAAAAGAAAGCTATTTTTAGGGGTTATGTACCAAGTACTATCACTGTGCAAAAAATGAGCCAAATCGATTTTTTGACCGGTGCCACCATTGTTTGACCCTTACAGACATTCGCTCTTAAAACTTTCCACAGAAGTTTCTTAAAAAGTTCTTCCCCATACCTATATGGTGCATAATGCAGCAGCCATCTCTGTTTCTATAGTCCTTGGGCCACACAGAAGGCACAGGTAAAATTACAGGGGTGCATATTTTCTAGATATATACAACAACATTCATTTTTCTCTTTATCTCATTATACATGTACCATATATTTAGAGTGGCTACATACACATGATGTGTAGTGTATGTGGTTGACATAATCTATAGTACAGCATATTGTTAGTGCAACTGCTGCAATAGTTTTAAACTCAAGAGATTTCTTACCAATCATCTTCCTAATCTGATGTATCATGAAGCTCTGGCCCTTGATGGAGATAACAGTCCACTCAATGTCGTCTCGTACAAAAGTGTTTAAACACTGGAGATAGAGGGGTAAAAGGGACATGAAATGTAGAGAGGATACTTATTGGAAGTGGTTAAAACTGACCACATTTGTTTATCACAAACACTTGTCTGTACCAGCTTTTAGCTTGTGCAGTATTCATACCATGTTTTAGCAGCACAAATGTCCATAGCAAGCATAGCAATGTTCAAACAAAAGACCTTTGCCATACCTTGGATTCAATAATGTACCTCTTGGCACTAGGATCCTTGAATTTTCTGGAAATCAAGAAATATATAAAGAAAATATGAGGTAACGCTCTTTGCCCTTATGTTGCTCAATATAGTAAAAAAAAAACAATTTTAAAAGATGAACATTTTCCAATTCCAACTTGACTTTCAAAAGGAATTAAAGAATTTGATTATAAAGTTAAGAAATGTCAAAGTTACAAAATACTGACTTCCCGGAGGTGAAGTTATGGAAATTATGTGTCCCCTTGTACGCCGACAGGACGTCATTCACTTTCTCCATGATCTCATCTGAAATATGAAAATAACAGAGAAATTACTACATCAATAAAAGACAACAAAGGCAAAACAGTTAGTAATAGTGTTCTGATATTTTGAAGTAAATTAAGTACAGTTGTATTACAACATTAACAAAATTCTAAAACGCCAAATAATCATTGTACACTTTCTCATGTATTTCATACATCATATTGATGTAACAAGTCAATATTCGAGGGTATTCTTTTTAAAGGGTGAAATAAATTACCGAAGTGTATATTAATATAAATACCTGTGGCTCTGAAGTCTTGTTCAGTTTCCTGTAGAGAAAAAAAAGACAAACTGTAGTGAGATGTTGCAAAATTGTCAGATCAAAGGAATCTCCAAATAATTGTGCAGCTGACCCACACTACCCATGTTTGTGTCTAGTCTTAGCAATGGGAGCTTAGTCAGTTAGGCCACAGCAAGTAATTTTCATGGATGACATCCACACGCGCATTGATTTTCGCCTGATTTTAGAAAAAAAAACAAGAAATTTTGTTGCCCTTTGACGGTGGTCAACATTCCAAAAATGGACAAAATGGCATGCCTTGCCATGCTGGAATGTATATGGCAGATAAACATGAAGAGAGAGGACAAAACAAGGCTCTGATTTATTTTTTTACTTTTACTTTGATGCAGTGATGTATTTTATTCCTTTTATACGTTCCCACGGAATCAAAACCATTTGTACAATGATTGAAAACTTTCCCTTTTTAAAGTTGTTTTAGTGACAAATTGATGTTGTGATAGTTGGCAGTAAAATTAGCACCATATACATGTAGGTTCATGATGTCAAAATTTCAAAATATAGGAATCTTGTTTTTTTGGGCCCGCCTTGTTTTTTTTTTTTGCCCTCCCGCATTAGATTTGGAGTCTGCGGAGGATGTCATCCATAAAATTTACTTACTGTGGCCTTATGACATGGTCCTTACTTACTTCCTTGGTTGGTGCAAAGGAGTACGTAGGCAGGACGTACATGTACGTACGAGCGTCACACGCATTCTTGGAGTCAAAACCATTTGTTGTTCTCTTGATCCCTGAGTAGATATAAGATTTATCGTAACATTATTTCTCAACAAAGACTTTACCAGACTGTACATTAAAATCATATGTTTAGTAATGTTATACTCTTACTAAAATCCAAACAGATATATATATTGCTACAGATACTTCTTGTACTATTAACACTTTGGTTTGAATATATTTTTTATTTAACCTAAACAGTAATCTAATGTTCACGTAACCACATGCAGATGGGTTACTAGTAAACTTACCGATAATTCTGATACTTTCAGCCAGGCAGTCGTTGATCTTTTTGACAGCATCGTCGATCATGTACATCTTCAGGGACACGATCTGACCAGCTGCTGACACGCCCTTGTCTGTACGGGCGCACCGCTGGAAGTGCATCTGAAGAAAAACACAAAACCAACTTGACATTCACCGAATAACAAAGTTCTTTATTCACAACCACTTGTTGAAAATCTATCCAGTTGCTTGAGTAACAATTTCTTTATTTGTGTATCTCAGTACCTGGATGTCAAACCTTCACCAATGTATGCATCTTCAGGAAAAAAAACAAAACCAGTGACAATCAAGTGAGATCTCTTGCCATTGTAATACTGCAGTTGCGTGTTTGGCCTCTAGGGGGCGCTGCCCATTGTGAGCTTGGACAGTCAAGAGTGCATGTTGTTCTGTTCCAAGTTTAAGTGTATGTCTCATTCACTCTCTAGAGGGAACAGAGTTACTTCAAGCACAATTTTCTCTTGTATATGTAGTTTAATCTGTTTCCATAATGACTTCAACAACCACATATATTTATTGTCTTTTAATTCAAGGTTACGGTAACCCTCATCTAGGGTTATGGTAACCCTCATTTAGGGTTACGGTAACATTTTTACATGTACACACCTTCTGCATACAGTCCATGTGATCCTTAGGGATGGCTCCTGCCTTATAGAAAGCTGCCAACAAGTCCTCTTCAATCGTCTTAAACCCCTGATTTCTGTTAGAATAAGAAATCATGGTATGTTGAGACTGGACAAAGTAACAATTTTGATGAAAGGTTCACGTATACAACTGCATATCATATATCAAACAATCCTTTACTGAATTCTGAATTGCGTATTCAGTTCACCCAAAGCCTAAAAACATAAACCTTCTCCCTGCTGCAGATGCCTTTTTGTGCCAAATCTGTATTTACAACCTAGTACAAGGTTAGGCAGCAGGTAGAAGGTTACTCCACCCACCTCTGCATGCCCATGTACCCCACTCCTGAGTATGCCAACAGACACGCCACCTTCCTCTTCTTGGCTGTCGGTCTCTCCCAGTCAGGATCACCACCTGGCTTACTCTGGTGAAAAAACAACATATGTCAAGAATATGTCCTCCTTCACACTGGCATAACACAAAGAGGAAGACTAATCAACTATAGCCAGACTGCCCTCCTCTGTAGTTTCTGTCGGCTCCTTAATGTCACTGTGGTAGCCAGGGACATTAGGGAGCCAGAGATAGCACGGAGGATAGCGCGCAGGATAAATTTAGTACTTTGGACTGTGTCTGTAGCAGGTACCACCATTGACGATAATTTAATTTAAATACTGTAAAAATAAAATGGGTAATCATTGTATCTCAATGACAGGGAGGGGGGAGAGGGTTACAATTTTTTTTTGATTGTTAATTGATTCATTATTATATGGTAATAAGGAAAGCACAACTAATGTACCTGAAGTTTGGCCTTTTTCCATCGGTAGGACTGCTCCTCTTTTGTGTTATGACGTCTCTTGTTGAATTTTTTACCGGTGCTGACATCATTGCTTTTAAAGGGAGTATCGTTACTTGACGTTGCTCCAGTGTTTTGGCATGTTTCCACCTCCTCAGGTCCTTTTGAAAGGGACTCAGTCGTAGTATCAGTCCCAGTTTCTAACTTGGCTTCAGCTGCACTGTTGGTTACTTCCATGTTTAGTCCTACAGTTGAAGTTCTGACTGTATGTAGAAGTAGTCGCAGTCCATGGAAGGTGTGAAGGATGGGTCTGGTAATCATCCGTGATCACATGTGCTGACTGGCTCTCAATCCAGTGGTCGGGTAGAGATGTCTATCCAACGTTATAGATATCTGATATAGATACCAGATACAGATATCTGATAAAATACAAAAGATTAGACAAAAAACAACAGTAGTAAACCAGAGTGCTATCTACCACACATAAGTCATGACCTTAGTTTTCTTAATATGCAATACCACAGAAAGCTGCTAGGGGGCCCATTAGCAAACTTGTCTGCAGACACCTACACACATAAAATGTTATAGTTACCTTCTTGGCAAGGGTAAAAAAAAATCTATCATGACCAAAGTGATTAGGTATATAAAGACTGAAGTTGAAATCTACTGTACAGGCACTGTAACCAACCTACCAACACACACGTCTGAATTTTCTGCCCCCCACCCCTCCGCAGCAAATATTATGGTATAAAATTTCTTGACATTGCAGCCATAAACGTTACTCCTAAATTTTCTCATACTACCCCTATTTCTATCTACAAGGAGCTCTGGATTTCGTAAACCAATTTAGTAGCACACAGTGAAAACCAGTTTGTTATTCTACACATGAACGGTTACCTCGTGTGTTTCATCGTCTGTCTGGAAGGGCAGCGCTTACCGGAGGGACGATCCATATATTATCCTGTCTGGGTTGCTACATAACGTTCGCCTCGGCAAAGTTTACCTGGCCCTTGGGTAAAATGTACTCTAAGTAAGGTTAAAAGACTGTGTTAGGGTTTTAAAGTTCAGCGAATTGCCAGTCTTACAAATTTACACGAATCCCTAAAAGGTTTATGGATAGTCCCCAATATTCAGGACCACCTTTGACCTTTTGTAGACTCTGCTATTTTCATGAAGGGTGACGTTAGTGTGAGCATGAGTTTTGAGCATGAAATCTCTATCAAAAACTATTTAGATCTAATGCTTCATCTAAATATATGTTAATGAGTGTTTAGTACTAAAGTTTTATATCAAATCCATTAAAAAAAAATCCCGAGTAAAAAGTACAATCTGTCTACCCTTTTATTGAATGGACTGCTCTAGCAGTGAACTAGTTTACTTCCGGTTTCTGTCAGGCACAAAAATAGTAACGTTTCATTTCTCGGGCCGAATCCTACAGTTTTAAGTTAGCCTTTCTAAGACAAGAATTTTCACAGGTGAGGTAAACTGTTAACCTACTTTTTATGCAATCGTGGTGACTCTAGGAGGGCTTCTTTCACTTGTTAACTCAATTTTATTACTGTTGTTCAGAAGTGACTTTGTTTAATAACACAACTTTGTCATGATGCAAAACAGCAGTGTCTAAATATGTGTTGTTGTAACAGACTTGACCGTGAAGATGGTACGGAGTCTGAAAGAGTCATGCCTGAGCTGTCTGGCCTGCAACCTACACTCCATCAACAGGGTGGGGCATTACCTGGCAACCAGACACAAGGTATTCATGTCTTGATACCATGTCTTGCTATGGTTTTTGATGCTCTGTCTTAGTTACGTAGCCATGGCGACTCTAAATCGGGCGTATTTTGCTGGTATCCTTGGCTACTAAGTATATTTTTTAAGACTGTCAGAAATCACTTCACAATGACATGTTGTACAACTTGAAACAGTTACTACTTATTAGATCATATATGCTATACAGGCTTTCCTGTGCAATTCATCGGTAACGTTAACGTTTATCCAAGGACATTATACACAGAAGGTAATGTCCTTGGCTTATCAAAACACTTTTATAGCATGCTACTAATGTTTAACACACTAGTACTACATTGTATTAGTAGTAATGTTTATGCTCTTATTTGAACAGGAACTTCTCCTCGAATGGCTGGTCTATCATGACAGACTGACACCTGAGTACCTGCCACACATCACGTATCACCTGTTCTCCGCTGGGCTCAGGACAGTCAACTTCTACAAGTGCCAGCAGGTGGTTAACCTTCTCCCATAATGGCATAACCTGTTTCTGTTTGGTGCTGGCAGAAGGTTTAGTGTGTACAGATGCCATGCAGAGTCTAAGATGGCAAATTGATTTTTTTATACCTAGACTAGTGTTATGATTTAGATTAGGAGCAAAATTTAACATTAATGTCAATGACTGAAGTTCGCTTTTGTCATACCCTTATGTATTGTATTGTATCACTTGCCATGTGTTAAAATTAAAACTAAAGTTAGATCTTTATATGTAGTGATACTGAACACCTTAACATTCAGCATTATACTAGTCAATTTATACTTTCGATATCATGTGGCAATTTTGGATAAAAAAATTTATTTCACTTTTACTCAGAAATTCTCATGTGCATTTATATTGTGAAAATAACTTTCAGCCATAAAAGAAGCACACATAGTATGTGCCAAATTCACCTTTGTTTGACATTTGTGTAACAAAATTTGCCTGTTATCTTTGCATGTTAGTTAACATCGGAACATTTTTCCTAATTCTCCCACACAGGTAACTGATGCAGTACTAACACAGTTAGGTGACTGTGGCTGTAAACTAAGGTCTATCACCATACATGGCTGCTCAGATATAACAGGTACTTAACTCTCTTCTGCTGACTCCTGCATGCTGTAACATTATATACTCAGATATATACTTGACTAGTTGAGCATTCACAGACTAGCAGTTTAGACAATACAAACTAGCAGTTTTGGCCATACAAACTAGCAGTTTAGACAATAATACAGTTGTTAAAGCTGGGTGCATCCAACATTTTGTATGTCAAATTTTTGCACGTAATATATGTAATAATTGGAACTAAAGGGTGGACAGGGCTACAGGGTTAGTCTACAGCTCTTGCCTTGCCCTTGTTTATGAGTGACCTTTGTTTGTTTTTCAGATGCAGGAATGGTGGCCTTGTTGCAGCACCAGGATGAGTTGGAGGTCCTGGAGCTGAGGAAACTGCCTCACCTGGTCACAGACTGGGCGCAGGCCGTCATGTCACCTGTGTTAGAACACCTGGATCTCAATAGCTGTACTAGTGTAGAGGCACCTGGTAAACATACTTTTCAACATTGAAATTATTTGTATTCTAATAATCTTAGCAATGTCTCAGTTAGCATAAAACAGCAGAATTGCATGAGCACAATGGTTGCTGCTTGAAGAGAGCCACACCTCCAGCATGTTAAAGATCCCACCACTTATTAAAATGAGTAGAGGTGCATCCCAGTGTGAGTGGATCAAACCTTACAGTCCAGTCTTTCACAGCTTGTACCTACAACTGGTGTGTTACACCCAAAGGTGGTTTACCGGTGATGCAAAACAAACAAACAAACAAACACTACAGTGTAAATATTACACACTAATCATTGTTAGGTCAAGAACTTAGGCAAAGTAACACTGATATCAAATTCTTTTTACTATTCTCCACCCCCAGCTGTGTGCAGAGTGGTGTCCTCCAACCCCACCATGAGGACCGTGATCCTGGCCCACTGTCATCGGCTGGGGGAGAACATCAACACCCTGGTGCAGCGGGTAGCACAGGCTCTCAATAACAACATGGTCAGCTTTCATTGAACTTGAAGTGTTGAAACAAAGAAGTGAATGACTGAGAGAAAGAATGTATGACTGACTGACTGACCGAATGAATGAATGAATGAATGAATGAATGAATGAATGAATGAATGAATGAATGAATGAATGAATGAATTACTAGAAAGTGTGATGAGGATTTACATCTTTGGAGTAAAGATTACATGCTTGCATATAAATTGAAAAACTCAATAGCAACAGTAGCCACTTACTTAACAACCTAGTATTGGTCTGAGATGTTAGTAGATTTGCAATTAATACAAGTGGGAGTGTTTAATCTGCATGGGATGTCTGGGGTGTTTCCAACATGAGATTTCATCTTGTTGGACCTGGCACCTGGTTTCTAGTCTTAACATTACACTTTCTTGGAATATTGATAACACTAGAATACGATCATATAATGTACAAGTCTTACCTTGGTCACTTTTACAGGAGGCAACATATATTGTCTAGAATGGCAACAACAAAATTGGAAAACTGTTATGTGTTTCAGGAACACCTGGATGTAGCAGGAGATCACTGTCTGTCAGATGCCAGCCTGACCGCTATAAGTACACACTGTCCAAACTTGAAAAGGTAGGGGAAGTTAAGTACCAAAGTTACATACTGGTAGCTGTCATGATACATGTATTGTAGGGCTACTGATTATCAGTTTACAATTTACAGTTTAATGTATTTTTCATGTTTTCAGCTTGAATCTTCATGGGTGCAGGAGGGTGACAGCAGAAGCTTTACAAGAGGTGAGATGAACAAGAACCATTATATTGAAATGATATCTTGTAAAGGTGTTCTGTTAGATAGCAACTCTTCTTCTATTTGTACTTGATGGAAGAGGTATAATAATAAAGCCTTGTACCCTACCTACATATAGTCTCCTATACAGGCATCTTGTAGATTGGTCAGGCTGTCTAGTACAGTAGGCTTTCCAACTGTATACTGGGACCAATGGTTGTAAACTGTTCTGTGACATGTACAATAATAAAATTGCTACTCTCACTCTCCAGTTCTGTTACACAAGTTGGATGCCAACTTCTCAAATTAGTGTAGGTTTTTTTTGCTGTTACTGTGACAACATTCCAAATACATGTATCTCCGACCTGTACAACTGATACACATCCCATTCTTACTGACACCTCATCATTTATGTGTGTGCAGCTGCTGGTGTCCTGTCTGCAGCTGCAGAAACTGGACCTGTCCTACTGCTACAAGGTGACCAGTCAGACGGCTCCACACATCCTGTTCCACCTGCCTGAGAGACTACAAGTATGTTACAACCGCACACATTGGATCACTGTTTATGTATTTATATAAACAGGCTTTTGATTCATCATACAGTGGAGCAAATAGATAATATGTAACACAACATGTTGTAAAAAGGGACCTCAACAAGAGAGAAACTTTTCACTGACATTCTCATGGTATTTACCTACATGTATGTAAGATTTTCAAAAGAGAAATTTATGATAACTAACCTACTATTGTCTAAAAGTGTGTTACTGTGTCTCGTAACTAGAGGCATTCTTTCATCCAATCCTGTATACATTGTTCTTAATCACCTTTAAGAAACCTATCTCTGTAACAAATTACCCAACTTTTAAGCTGTTGATATCATTCTTCTAGAACTAAATCCACTCTGTATCTTATAGAATCAAGTAGTAGGTGGACAAGACAGGTTGTGACATGTCCCGTTTGATCTAAAGATTCTATCATGACTTCTACCAACACATTGTGACTACCGGTATGAGGCATAAATATTTCTGTCCTTCCCAGTTCCTGTCCCTGTGTGGTGTACAGCTGCCCTACCCACAGACCCTGGAAGGACTGACCAAGCTGAGGAGACTGGAGGAGCTGGTGTTGTGTGGGATCACTACCCTCACAGTGGAGGTCATGGATATGGTGAGTGGGGGGAGGGGGGGGGATTCTCCTTGGAAGTTGAGTAGTACTGTATAGTCAAACCTGTCTATAGTGGTCACTCAGGGGACTGATAAAATTTGGTCACTTTAGACAGGTGACCACTATAGAGAGAGAAGGTCCATATCCGATCACGAGCATAAGTGTCATGGACTTCCAGTTCCACTGAGGTATCTTTATTTAATTCCTGTCACTAGTAAAAGATGATGCCAACTGACACTTCTCTACCATACCGGGCTTGTACTTGTACTGGAGATATTATAGCCTGGTTACCAAACTTATTTTAGCTGCAGATGTCTCTTTTGTCCTCTCTGCAAAGGAGAAAAGAGACTCGGCAGCTAATATGATTATGTGTATTGTTAACCAGGCTGCAGATATTAGTGGGCTCATTATGTTAAGAAAACAAGACATACATTTAGAAGAGAGGAGAAATGTGAAATCAATTCTCTTCAATCCTGCTGAAATCATGTATAATATATTGACACAATCCCTTGTAGTAAGTTGTACCTTTGACACTATACCTCATCAGTGGTATTTTATCTGTTCTCCAGCTCCTGCCCAAGTTAGGAGGTAGCCTGGTGCACCTGGACCTGAGCGGGTGTACGGCAGTGGACGATGTTCTCCTGAGATCTGTGTCTGCTCACTGTGTCAGCCTGCAGAGACTGGTGCTCTCTTTCTGTACACAGGTCACACATCACAAAATAACATTATATTGATAATATTGTTGTTATTGGCCGACTGATGGATGGATTGTTGTTACTATCACACTACTGCTTAGGCCATAGATAGCTTCCTCATTATATTGGGAGGTCCAGTTATTGTAACTGTTGTTTGGACTGACTGTAATACTGAAGTAAGTACCAAAATGTGCCTTATCTTCCCCTACAGGTCACAGGTGTCACCCTGCTGCCCATATTTGAAGACCCAGAGAGAGCACAGAACATCACATGTCTCATCTTCACTGCTTGTGTAGCTGTGGGTATTTTGTGAATATAACGAGTCTTAATAACTCAATTGTTTTAAATGTAGTCATACACATAGGTAATACTAGTAAAGATGGCAGCAACAAATATTTGCCAGGGGGAGAGGCAAAGGCACAAGAATCGTACAGATCAGAACACTCCGAAAAAAAATTCAAATGTCATTCTTTTTTTCTTATGGTGGTGGTGTTGGGGATTGGGATGGGGAGAGTTGCCACCCCTGCACTACAGGAATACAAAACTAGCATTTTCTAGCTTCTAGTTCTAGTTAAATCTAATGAGGGAAGAGATATCTTGAGGTCCTTATGAAAGGTTTTTGGTAACACAGGAATTCTGTTTTCCTACAGATGTCTATGGAGGTACTACAGGTGATAGCATCCAAATGTGTCAACCTTGAGAGATTCCATGTTGCTGGGCTGGCTGACGTCAGGGACGACCTTCTCCTGACCTTGGCCAGTAACTGCCCCAAGCTCTCCAACGTGACTTTTAAAAGCTGTAATCAGGTGAGTGCTTGAAAACAGTAAATCACCTACCTAGTAGTTAGGTGATAATCGGGCTACACAGCCACATGAAGGCCTGCAGGGGACTGACTTCCTAACATCTTCGGACAGGAAGAAGAGGCCAACAACAACGGATAGTAACTATTACTTCATGTTGAAAGTTCCTAAAACTGAAATAGCACACCCAGAATGTAGTGCACATGTATGAGATTTGTGGTGATCAGACTATTATTTGATTGAATTATTACTACCATTATGATTTGTCAAATGTCGGTGGAAGGTCCCAGACCTAGCCACGAGAGCTTTTTTTCTTCCATCCCTGCGTGTCCTTGTTTGTTATGCTCATGCTCATTTTACTATATCCGGATGCTCATTTTACCACTCTTTACATGCAAATAAAAACCAACTGTTGATGTTGCCAGCTGACGGACGCGTCGGTGTGCGAGCTGTCCCGTTGCTGTCCGCTGAGGGAGGTTGTGCTGTCCGGGGTGCGCAGCCTGACTGACAGGAGCATCCTGAGCCTGGCCAACAGCTGTCAGCACCTGGACTGTGTGTACGTGTCCGGCTGTACCCAGGTGACCACTGCAGCTCTCAGGTACCTCCAGGTGAGGCAGCAGATCTCTATAGATGTCTGTGGAATCTTGATTGTAAAATATGCTCAAAATAACTACATTCTAAGGTGCTACAGATAGCTTGGTGTCCAGTCTATCATACTTGGGACAGGCTTAGTTTTCAACTGAATTTTTGCACTTGTAGTTTTGCACGATCATGGGAACTCCTGTTGTGCAAAACCTACCCTAGTTGAGTCAGGCAGCGAAGAACTCCTGCAGCCCCTTAGAAAACCAGCCCAAACCACGATAGACTGGGCACTAGGCTATACTACAAGGTCACATAACAGCTGTGCTTAATCTTACCTACTGACTATATGTCTATTGAAAAATGTGAATCTGCCATTGTGTTGTCAAGCCAGTTTAGTTATGTGTAGATTGTCATATTTGTGTATAGTCCTGACCTTTATAGTTTGTATTCCCTGTTCTCCAATGAATCATGCTATAATAACCATGTACATGTATGTCTGTTTTTATCTGGTATGTGATTGCCATGGATTAACTTTGCTGTTATTCCCTGCAGGACTGTTGCGTGAAGAGAGTCCACATAGAACACAAGACCCCCAACATGGACCCCAACCAGCTCATGGCAAAGAACCTGGACACTGGGGAGTACCTCCGGGTGGACCAGATGGCTGTCAGCTGAAGTGGACAGAAGATGACCACTATGTCACTGGATTTTGACTATTCTCCACCAGACTCTATTTGCTGGCTCAGAAAATAGTAGAAATCAGCCTAAAAAGAATGTAGCTGGCCAGGGGAGTTGCATAGCCTGCAGACAAACTGGACCCTCTATGTCCGGCCAGCTACATTCTTTTTAGGCCTATTTCTATTTATTGAGCCTGCTAAAGTCTGGTGGAGATTTTGACCATTATCCATTATGTCTTCCATTTTTGATGGAAGAAACTGGCTACACAGTTTACACCATTTTAATGAAGAAAGGTGTGTTGTGCACTTCAAGGCTCTATATTCAGGGAGGTGGTGTTTTAAGCAATATACCCGTGTGGACATGGGTAAAGACACAGCAAAATCAAGTATGGACTATGAGCATTACTCTTTTACTACATAATGAAATGGTTGTATTTAACTGAGCCTTTGCAGCAAAATTTTAACAGCTAGCCTACACCAGTGTGGTATGAAATAATTGCAAGCCGTTGTGTGACTGTAGAGCTCAAATGATTGTGAACAAACACAACAGGTGTTAAATAGAATGCCTAGTGAAAATCTGCTGTACTTGTTCTCTCTACCATCATTACTTGTGGAACTTGAAAGTTGAAGTACATGGCTGCTGGCAGTGTGTGCTATTAAACAAGCACACCTACATGTATCAATAAGCAGGTTTGTACACTTTTATAATACCGTGTATGTATGTAAAAAGAAACTCAAGTTTGACAAGAAACTGATTTTTTATATGAACAGAGTGAAAAGTTTGTGTAGTTGTCTCTCATTGGGTCATTATTTTCACGTGACAAACAATAAAATAACTGAAATGTTAGACTGTGGAAACTACAAATAAAAAAGACACCACAAACACAGATTATTGTAAAGCAAAATTTCATTGTAGACTTCCTGAATGTAACAAGCTTGCCTTGGACCCTTGCAGTGTCCCCAAACCAACAGGTAATGCTTGCATATAATTAACAGATGAATTAACCAAATACTAATAACTTTTAAGTACATTGCTAACTCAAGTTAATCAGCTATCAACAAAAACTAAGATACTTTCAAGCAAAGGATGGATACAAAAAAGCTGCTAGAGCCTATAGACTATTCTTTCCTTCCATTTGGAATTATATATTCCTTGCATAAGTAGTTTTTGTTCAGTCAACTTAACAATAATGTTAGAACATAAATCTGATTAATGATATGTGGAAAACAAAATGTAGTGTGGTTAATTGAATAGCTATTGCAGTTAAACAAAACTGAATATAAACAGCAGGGAGCATGGCCTTGGTTAGCAAATACACTGAAACAATCTACTGACCAAAAATACTTAATTGTGCAAACACTGAAATGTAACATACGATACATGGAGAATACAGCTGTTAGGCGACACAAAGCTTAGTCTATGCTACGTATTTGTAATTCTTGGCTAGGCCAATTTATGTGCATTTATGTCCTCTGCTAGGTTTCCCTGCACTATGGCAACTTTAGCGTTCTATTTGTTAAAGGCATTTGATTTAGAAGTCCCCGAATCAGGCCAGTCCACTGCTACCAAATAGTTATTCATATGCACGGCTTCACCACCTTAAGGGCTTGATTCTGAGATTTAACAGCACAAGTTTCTTAAATAGCATCACAACCTTACCACACTTATGCCATGCCAACGTAACTCCTTTATTCTTGCGACAAAATATGACAAGTAAGTCAATGTCAATGCACTTCCTCACTAAATATCCTTCTCTATTTCATCTAACTCCTACACCCAAGAGTGTGAATGGTAATTTGTATGGCCTTGGCTGACAATAATAACAACATCCTTCAAAACTAAAGACTACAGTCTGAGGCACGTGTAAAGAGAAACAGCTAGCTCTTCTCCCAATATAATCTAAAACCTTTAACTCCAGAACAAGCTAATTAATTCCACGAGGTATCAAAAGATGTGTGAGGAGAACCCAACTTTATAAGTATTCCTACTTGATGACCAACCCTGACTATTTATAATCTTACACTTGACTAGACCACTGTACAGTTAAGGATGAGCAGGCTCAAAGGAGAGCTGAAAATGAGTAATACATGATGTAGACAAAGACCAGATCTGCACCGAAAAAATATGTCTGTATTTACATGGCACACGATGACCGTCACTGCTATGTTTGACACTTAATAGTTACGATTGTGACTAGCAAATTCACTGTTATTCCCCTGTTGATTGGATCGGTGGCTGCATGTACTTACAGATATCACAAACTACCGTAGTTGCACAGCATAGACAATCTACCTAAAGAGGTGAGAAAATAGTCTTTACTACCTAATCTATGTCACTGACAGACGTCCATTGTCTGAAATACTCTAGAAAAAATGTTACGGAGATGAAAGTCACTGACAAATGGCCGCGACAAGAAAGATGTCGCCGCCGAAAGGGTAGAAGTTTGTCCTGTTCCTCTGAGACGGTTGGAAGTTCACCAGTGGATTGTACTCAAACAGTAAAGACCATCTCCAGTTCTGTTTCACCCGCCTGTTTGAATGGCTGTTATACAAAGGGTCCATAACATCTGCACTTTTGCATCTGCTGCCCCAATCTCTGACCGATGGATATAAAGTTCTGTTTAGACCTTGTGGAAGGAGAGAGACGTTCTGGGGGCTTAACTAGCTGGCCTCCTCCGCCTTCTGGAGGCTGTGGGCGGTGGCGGCGGGGCTGGGGACGTGGGGGGAGTGGGCGGGAGGGGGTGCTGTGGAGTGGGGGACAACTGTCTCTGCGGGGGGCGCCGGCGGGGGGATGGACACGGGGATGGGCTGGGGGTATCCTCGGAAACTGGCGCCGTTGACCTCGGGCGGGTGGGCCTCGGGCGGCCACTGCTGCGCCCCGGGCGTCATGAAGTACTCCTTGTTGACGCAGTTGCGGAGGCTGTCTGGGATCCGGCCGGTGATGGCGCGCCGGATCTCTCCCGCCGCCGTTTCCCTCATCTCCTGTATGCTCTGGTCGCTGTAGAATGCAGAGTGCGGCGTGCAGATCAGGTTGGGGGCGTCCGACAGCGGGCCTTCCCTCCAGGTGAACGGCTCGTTTTCGTGCACGTCGAGCGCCGCCCCCCGCAACCGCCCGTCCTTCAGCGCCGCCGCGAGGGCGTTTTCGTCCACCAACCCGCCGCGCGCTGTGTTGACAAGGAAGGCACCCTGGCGCATCTGTTTGATGGTGAACTCGTTGATGAGGTGGTGGTTGTGCTCGTTGAGGGAGCAGTGCAGCGTGACACAGTCGCTCTGGTACAGCAGGTCCTGCAGCGTGTAGACTCGGGTCAGGCCCAGGGCCTTCTCGATGCCGTCTGGCAGGTATGGGTCGTAGAAAATCACGTTGAACCCAAAAGACTTGGCCCTCTGGGAGACAGCGATTCCAATACGACCTGTAAAAAAAAAAGAACTTGCTAAAATCTTCTACTTCCACCACATAAATCTGACCATGTAAAGACATCCTTTCGAGACCACAGAGATGCACAAGTTTAATGTTTGCACACTGAACATTTTCTCTATATGTGACTCAGAATCTCTATGTGTGCTAATTTTTTGGACAGTTTCAGAACAATTGTCATATAGCAGTGAACATAGTTTGAAGAAGAGCTAACACATGCTAATATGTATGGCTTACAGCAACGGAAAAGAGTCTACAAGGCGATAAACTGTGCTCTATCCTGCATGACAGGAACTTGTGAACTGAACACAGTAACAGTTGTAAAACTTGGAAATCAGTCCTCTCACCGAGCCCGATGATCCCTAGCGTCTCTCCGCGGATCCTGGCGGCGCCCTGCGCGGCGTCCCGGACCTGCTCGCAACCCGATATCTTCTTCCCCTCCTTCAGCATCTCCGCCAGCCAGAAGATGCGCCGGTACAGGTTCAGGATGTGACACACCGCGCTGTCCGCAACCTCCTCCACACCGTACGCTGGCACGTTACACACTGCCACACCTGGGGGACAAGGGGATCCACCAGGGGTCACACTAGGTTCACACACTTGCAGGAAATTATGGTCCCGTAGCATTTCTGACAGTTTAATCAATAATTCTTAGACTTTAACCATGAATTCCGTAACAATTTTTCACAACTTGTTTAAAGGTCCTTAGAGTTATGAGCTATGTTACCCTTATTAAGATAATAAGTTACCCGCTATTTTGAGAGAATTATGAGATAGCCATGTAAAGGAGAAACTTATTTTTGCAGGTTTGGTTCATATGTGTCAATGTTTGCATTTGTTAGGAATGTCTCACCTAGTTCTCCAGCCGCTTTGACGTCCACGTTGTCGTAACCGGCTCCAATCCGGACGATAACGCGGAGCGCTTTGAACTTCTCCAGATCTTCTCGAGTCAGTGTGATCGTGTGGTACATCATGGCGCCAAAAGCTTCGTTCAAGACCTGCGGACAGGAGGAAACTGACATGTAGCATCCATAAACCCCTAAAAGGCGAACCTATATAACTACACAGGGCCATGGCTTTTATGAGGGGGAAAAAGAGACCATTTTGGCCTTGTTGCTACTCACATGAATACAACTTCAATTTTGGGTATAACGACATTATAATGAACTTGAGAAAGGATACTTCACCTCTTGTTTGCAGTGTAAGGAAATGTCAAATGCTAAAATAAAAAAAAATCCTGGATAGTATCAAACTTATCCATTCATTTAATTCTATACCTAGGGTACATGTAGGCCAGCCCAGTGACTTTCACTACTAGTGGTGTGCTGGTCAACAAATTTAAACCCCATATCTCAGAGTTGTGCTTACCTTCTCATGGATCTCTGTGGTGGACTGAGCGTCACAGAAGGCAACTGTAGCCACGTCTTTGAGGATGGGCATCTCCACGGAGCAGTCCCGTCCGTCCAGGAGAGCCACCAGTGGGCGAGGGTGTCTCGGTCCGTTCATTGTAGCTGTTGTACGTGTGTCTGTGGAACAGGGGGCGCACAGGTTACTTACAAACACTGGACTGTTCCTTTTTTTCACATGTACCAACTATTACAATTTCCTTTCTATAAAGCAATGTCAGTTTACTATCTAACATCTAGGTTGATATTGTAACTTTACATTATATATATATAGGTATAAGATGTGCAGTCATCAAATAGCCTTGTTGTACTTATATAATAATTATATACTGAAATTCAGCAACAGTAATATCAAGAAAATATGACAATAAGCTGGCTTTTGCAAGAAGACAGCAATCTTAATTTAAGTTAAAGTTAAAGACTTCAAATGCTTAACAATGTCCCAGTTATTAGTATCACTAGAAAACACACCCTAATCATACAAAATAGATAAATTACAGATCACTATCTTTTATCTACGAAGGCTGTATACTACAGCATGCACAATGTGTGATGAAGATGAACTAGGATTTAACATCAAAGACTTCAAATGTACCAATTATATTATATCTAATCTATACAAATATGCAGAAGAATTACACAGGATGAGATAGAATCACGAAGTACATAAATATCAATTTCAAAATGTCCTAAAATGTTACAATATATATGGAGCCAGAAGATGACCACTAACATCATTACTATATGTCAATTTTGTACTTGGTTTATTCCATTAGAAACATACAGAAGGGCAGACTACTACTAAACTGCAATATTATAACTGCCCTTCCGATTTTTAGTGGAATAAATTATAATCCTTAGCAGGGACGTTCCGTGAGTCGACAGCAGCAAAGCTAGCTGCGTCTGTTCAGTTCTCTAGGAAACAAACTATTAAAACAGCATATTTGATAGCTTGTCAGAAGTATCTTATGTATGTCTACGAAAAGGTCACTTTCTACAAGCATAAACATGAATCTTTCGACAACATGGAAGGTCCCTGTCTAAGAAACACTAACACTAACAAACTACAAAATATCAAGATATAAACACCACAACTTACACACACACCACCACGGGACCTCCAACAAGACAACACAGAGCTAGGTCCTGTACCTACTTCCAGCAGTCCTATCGGTTACTCGCTGTTTCTTGCTCTTTCGAACCTTGTCCGAGGACTTGGTGGGGGGCGTTGGGAGGCGGATGCACTGTGGGGGGTCCACTGCAGGATCGGCGACGGGAATGTCACCCTCTCGCTTCTCTCCACCACAGAAGTGGGCGCTGCACACTCGGAGCTGTGGAGAAAAACTTGGTTAGCATGACGGCAAATACTTACTTAGACTGTCACATAAGGCCACACCAATTTAACTTCTTGGTTAACGGATTCGCCCGCTTCATTTTTTTCTGATTTGCAAATAAAAATAAAAATTCAGAATCAACTGCAAAATGCTCATATTTTGTCCTGAACAGTTGAAAACAGTCCTTTTCATCCTAGTCGTTACAGTTATTCCATCTTTCAATGCAATGGTATCATTAAAAGTTCAAAATTTATTGTTTAAATTTTGAACCAGCCTGGTGTGTTGACTTCATGGCTCCTATCGTACCATTTTGGGCCATAATACGATGCCTTGGCCTGTTTTTATTTTAATTTTTTTTTGCCCGCCCGCTCTATTATTTTTCTAGAAAAATCCGTTAACCAAGAAATTAAATTGGTGTGGCCTAAGGGAAAGATTTTCAAACTCCAAAGTGAATCTTAATTACAACATCTGCTTCTGTAAACTTTCGTGCCAATAGAGAATTTCATCGTTGACAACATGAGTAAATCTCTCATTTAAATTTGAATGCTCTAAACTGACATAAAAATTTNTAATTTTATATCACTATCACTGCTAAATGTATTCATTGTCATTACTTAAGACATAGAAATGGAGACTTGGTTGTAGATACA